GCTTACAGAAACTGCCTCTCTGGTGAACCCTTATTACATTGTAACAGCTAAGGTGAAGCACCCATCGATGTGAGTGATGTTGAGTTGGCAAACTGTTCCACTGATTAATTGTCCTCACTGTTAGGAAGTTTATCATTTTAGTTGCGTGTGTTGCCCAGAATCATGTGAGGTGAGCAGCTATATAAATTTAATAAATAAATAGTTTATTTTGTGACCAATTATATGACCTTTTTTTGGTCACAGATCTTAAGCAAATCACTGCAGGTTTTCACTGAATCACACAGTTGCTAAGTAAATCTGGCTTCCCCCATCGACATTGTTGTCAGAATCCCCTGGAAAGGTCACAAAATGGTGATCACATGACCCTGGAATATGGCAACCATCATACATATATGGGAGCCAAGTGCTCAAATTTTGATCATGTGACCATGGGGATGCCGTGACGGTTCTAAATGCAAAGACAAGTTGTAAATTACTTTTTTTTATCAGGGAACAGTGAGTGAACAAATGCTTGTAAATCAAGGACTTACCTGTAAATGCTAAATATTAAACCAAATGATAAATGCTACAAGGAGAATAATTCAAAATCCACCCAGCTGCTGCGATATTGGTGCTACATTAATCGAGTGACAAAGTTTTCTGAAAGAACCAAACTTTCACGAACTTCTTTAACAGGCATTCAGTTACTGAATATCAAAAGCTAGCTCCCATTAATGTCACAAATATTTCCACCAGGATCTTTGGGTGATTTTCAGCAGCTTTAAGGCTGATGCTGTTTTTTAAAAAAACGACGCAATGACAAAAGTAACCCCTTTGGCCACATTAGCTAATCCCTTCAAACATTCCTCAGAAATTAGTCAGCCTGCCTCTAGCTGCAACAGCTGCCACTATGTGGCCCCTACTGATAAGCAGGCTAGATGTTTATTCCATTGATCATGGCTTATGTAAATGTTTTCAGAGTTTCCTTATGTTACATAATGTCTCTCTCAAGTAAAGTTCCATTTGTGCTGAAGCACATGTACTCATCGACATCAGAGGTGGGTTTCTGCCGGTTTGGTCTGGATCGGGCAAACCGGTAGTTGCAGTGGTGGGAGGCTCCGCCCACCTGCCCAGATGCTTCTGCGCATGCGCACACAGATGAGCAAACCGGTAGTAAAAAAAAGGGGGGGGACCCACCACTGATATACATGGTTTTCTTTACGGAAGATGTTTGTGAATATCTTTTTGAATTTCCCAGTTAGCCTACAGTCTTCAGATTCCTTGTTGGTCCATCAAACCAAGTGTGAACTAGGCTTTGACCTAAGGCCAGATAAAGAAAACCACATATTGTCCTCTGCTGAGACTTGTATATCTAGGTTCCACCACAAAACCGCATTTGACTAAAGCGCGCTCGACGAAACCGCGTAGCTGACGTCATCACAGGGCGACAACAGCGCGGAGACAGAAGCNGCCCCCAACAACAATCTGGGTCCTCATTTCACCCACCTCGGAAGGATGGAAGGCTGAGTCAACCTTGAGCCGGTGAGATTTGAACAGCCGAACTGCAGAATTGCAGTCAGCTGA